GAAATCTACATAATTTTTACCCTCATTCGTAATTACTGAAAAATATTATACATCTTATTTTCGGTCGAATACTTTTGGTGATATAAATATTCTAACACATATAAAATATTGGTGTTTATTTATTTCTTTTTATTTACATTTATATTCATATATATATATATATATATATATATATATATATATATATATAAGCATATTCTAAGGTAATTAATTTGATTGAATTGTATTTATTACTTATTGAAGGGCCACAACCTGGCTGGATAGGGTAATAGTACAATAATATCATAATTAGAATTTTAGTTAATTATAAGATTTCTTCATAGTGTCTCTCCACTTATCGACTAGCTAGTCTGATCTCTGCCACAGTGCGGGCAATCGAAGTGTAGGACACTAGTATAATCTATTGTGCAAAGAACTGAAATTGAGCTCGCATCTACCCTAGATCACTATTTGGACGACTGAAAAGACGTAGGCCACTTGGAAATAGTTTTTTGCACAGGACAGTTATGTTGCTTAGAAGTTATTTATTTGCTTTATAATTTATTAAATAATAGATATATTAAGGTAAAACACCATATACAAGGTTAAGAACTATACTACATATATATACAAAAGGTTTTTACAAAAAGACAGAGTTATAATAAACTTAGACTTCACCTTGGGCAGATTTAATATAGAATTGTACTAGAAAAGTAGTTACACGCGAGTTAATAAAAATATAAACCGTATAAATATAATTGCGTACATTAATGCGTAAACGTATACATCGATAATTGTTACATTAACAACATCATTCATCTCAAGAGAATATCAGGATAGTCAGAGGTAAATGGAACATTTGTTTACATAATAAGTCTATAATAGATCCTTTACTGAAGAATTTTTTAGTAATAAACAATTAGAACAAGATAGGTCATTGAGAATAAACTAAAATATTTTTATAAAAAACACGATACTTGTGACTCGCCGGAAATTAGTGTGCGCGTTTCTGTGCAGGAGCTAGGTAGTGACCCTTCCTTGTAATTCCATCTTATTCATACATTAGACGTTTTTACACAAGCATACATACCCCGAGATCCCTTTCTATTTCATTTTATTGTAGTCACTACTGGGTATCTATAGACACTTTTACTTTCCATTGGTACCCATCCTTCTTACACTACGCCTGCTACGATTATTATTTCCTTATTGGCCACCTGTGTTACATTTCTTTACATTTCTTCCCTTTCACACTCCGAGTCCCAAACACACTTAACAACATTCCTTCGCCACCTTAAGCCATTTTGTTTATTATAAGACTACTACCTACATACCTACACTCATGTTTCTCTTTTTGTTTATTACAAGCTATTTCCTTTTTACACTCTTGTCTTCTTTTTGTTTATTACAGTGTACACTACTCAGAGTGCGAATATTAAAATTGACGCAATTAGGATTATATACATATATTTTTTTATAATTTATACGTTAATTTCATAAAAATATATTTCTTTCAACGGCGTACGCACGTAATCGCTTGTTTTTTTTTTTAAGTGTCATCGTTATTTTTTTTAAACAACGCAACCCGCACGTAATCTCAAAAATCACACGTCGTCAACAGTACTGTATAAATATTCCTAAAACAGCTCTGGTTTTGGAACTTCTTCAATGAAATTTGTTTTTTACGGCACCAGTTCTCCTTTTCATCATTACATCTATACGTCATTAGTTCACTTGTACGTCTCTACGTTACCTGTTTTGATAAACTTTTGTGTGTTCGTTTGGAGGCGGTACTTTGTATATTGGGATGGTGTCGCATTATGTATGAAACTGTTTATACCCGTGAGAGATGGATTAATATTTGTTCGCCATTGTTGGTCATATTCAAGGGTGGTATTACACGATTCTATAATACAATTTTATCTGGCACCATATAGTTATGTTTTTGATGAATGCACGTGCATAATATGCTTTATAAGTATATTATCAATTCACTCACCACGCTTTGTATAACTCAGGAGTTGTTAGTGATATTTAATTTTTACAGTCAAAAATCAGACAAGTCGTTCTAGATTGTTGTTTGTTTCAACATTTCTAGAATTATTAGATTTTCAAAATATCGCTTATATAATGTGTTTCTGAACATTTTTACCTGTTAAAACAGGATCTTTTTTTAGTACGTCTCAAATTATTATTTGAATTTATCTTAAAGTATATTGTTGAAACTCGTTATTATGGGGTGATACGTCTAGATACTGTGAATTCCTGAAGGTTATTTTTAGTGATGCGAAATATCAAATAGTAACTATCGAACTATTCGATAGTCATTCAAAAACTATTCGATGCTGAAAATAAAAATCCTAAAAATAAACTACTCGGTTGTATAAACACAATTCGAATAGTGAATCGATAGTTAAAAATGTTTGAAAATGCCCATCACTAATTTTTACTATTATTCATTGTGTATTAATTTATTTTAAGAACTCGTTAATTATCTTCTTATAGTAATTAAATGTACTGAATAAAAAGTTTAGGTAGAACTAATCGAATATCTTTTGAAACTATTCGGTAGCCCATTCAAATAGTTTATGCTAAAAATTCATTGAAGACCTCCTAGAATTGTACCATTAGGTAAAACAATAAAATGTACGAAATTTGGTTAAAATTGAGTGACGTTAACAAGTGCTGCAAGAGGATTGAAAATTCAACAATAAGGGTGGTTTTTCGAATTTTGTCACTCATCTTACAAACTATGCTATTTACAGAAGATATTATAGAGCTTAATTTATAGAACAAAATGTTTACTGCCGCGTTACCGACTCGGCCACACCATTCCCCATATTGATAAATAATACTGATTAATTAAAATACGATTAACTGTACATGTTATGAACCAATATCACTTTTTAAAGTAAACCAAAAGCTTCTTAGCTACTCATTGAAGTTAAAAAGTAATTAGTGATATTTTTTTATGTTTCTGCTGTATGATCAACTCTCGACAATAATACGAGCAGTAATATTAAAAAATTAAAAATCGCTGTGCTCAAAAATAGAACAAAAATGATGTTATATTAACAAATAATTTAGTCTCGATTTATCAGTTATAATAACTTTTTTAATTCATAACTTAAAGGTATCAATTTTATTGTTTGAATAAAAATATACAAATTTTACTAGCTTGTAATAAAAAAGGTACATTCCTTATATTATTGAAGGAGATAACATTAATTTTTCAAATGGAAATATTCACAATTAACTGTTTATTTGTATATAGTGATATAATTAAGAAAATAACTGGTCAATTAAATTTTTTGGACTAATTAATTCAGTATTAATTAACTATCTAAAGTAATGAATGGAGTGGGTGCTGCTATTTTTATCATATAACACTTATCGGCTTCACTTCACCTTCTGTAATGAACTATTGTACAAGTCGTGCTGATCCAGTACATAGTTAACCATTCGACTTGTGCATATTCGGGTCAAATAATTTTAATAATAATTAGTCGTAGTTCCATTGCCGTACTATTAAATGTATTGATTATTATTACAATTATTTACGATTCACCTATGTTAATTACAATAAACCAATAATAAGTATTAAGTACTGAATACTTTAATTACTTTAATTAGTTACTTAAATCCTTCTCACCAAGTTTAAAAACTAAACAACGTTACTTCAGTTTAATTACGTTCAACAATAGTACACCAGACAACTCGACTCTGCTCGCCGACAACTCGCACACGGTAAGACTAACACTAGGAATATGTGACAGCGGAACATACCGAGACCACAACATTCCACCTAGGTTTAAAAATGTTAATACCTATGAAATATTAGTCTAAAAATTTTTATCGACCAGTTATTTTTATAGCTTTTATTTTTAAATACAAAAATGAAAAATATTATATAAATAAGATATCACTGAAGGATTTTAAGTAATAATCGATTAGGGTAAGGAGAGTCGTCAAAAATAAACTGACCATCTTAGGCAGTTCTTATCTTATTAGTGAATATCGTGTTTTTTATGGGATTAAGATGATCGCATAAAAAAACACGATATTCACAAATCACATAAATGTGTATATTATTATGCAGGAGCCAAGTAGTAACCTTTTGTTGCCCTTTTATTCTGTATTCACATATATCAGATCTGCTTCTATAGACATGCATACCCCGAGATATTTCACTTTAATTCTATTATTGTCAGTGACTATTTATCGACCACCTCCAATATGATAAGCTTAGCTTCACTTCATCACCGTTCAAGGATTAAAAACGTTAATAACTTCTGAAATATTGATCCAAAAGATGTTATCGACAAATCATTTTTATAGCTTTGATTTTTATATTCATCTATTTTGTCTTCGTTTTATTTTTTTTACTTTATTAAGTAAATCTAAAAAAATGTATGTTGTTTAAACTAATTGTTATATGGCTAAAGTTTACTATGAATCAGTAATTTATTATTAATTTATATATTTACATTGAGTGAACAAAGAAATTATCTTTTAAATACAAAACTGTTTAATAATAATTTGTTACAAAACATAAGAAAAATATACGTCAATAATTAAAATGGTATAAAGCTTTATACAAATAATAAAATTTATTTAAAAAAAAAACAAATAATAAGAACCAATAATTTTCATTGAATTATAGATTTCAGGGCTAAATTTAATTTCTGACATATTATCACAATTTAATAGAAATACAGTACAATGATAATAAACAATGATAGTAAAGTGGAGTTGAGGTTTTTTTTTGATCAGTATAGAATGATATCGTAAAACACTCGATGCGTATTTGAAACATATTAAAAATAAATGTAACATATCTACAAAAATTACATGGTTTTTGATTTTAGAGTTTGATAACTTATAGACAATAAGTCACCGGAACGTTTTTAATTTTTTGATCATATTTTACATTAAACAATCTAAAAATATCAACGTTGACAGTTTAATGACAACTGTAATTTTTTATGATATTTCTCTATATTAAAGTAGAATTTTTTAAATTTTGATACCGATACTAAATACGTTTTGTGAATTTTTTTAACGTATTGTTGAGCAAAATTAGTCCAATGCAGCGGGAGTATTTGCATATTGGATACAATAAAAAAAACACAACTTAATGAAGTAATGACTTCTTAACAAAGTATCGATGCTAAAAAAATAAATCAAATTTAATTTTTAATTAAATATTTATTTTTGAGATGACGCCATATATTTGTATTTCATTTTTTTTTTAGTTTAACAAGAAATTATATTACATTTCTTATAAAAAATATCCCTAAGTGTATACATAAACTTATTGGAGTATTTTAAGTGAAGTAAGGCAACTTACAAAGAACTCTAATATGGTAAGTCACACAATTTATTAAGTAATAAATAATTGTATTGTGCAGTTTTACTAAAAGTAATTGAAACCATACATTTTTCACTTTGTCGACTTATGTAATACTATTTTAGAAGTTATACATTTTTTTATATTTAAACACAAGGAGAATCATGTCTAAAAAACCTCATGGAAATAGTAAACCTAACTGGTTACACACTTTAATTATATATATACATATATTTATGAAAAAAAATACATAGTTAATAATAATGATACATAAAATGGTGATTCTATACATAAATGGCACTTAAAATTTTTTCATAGACAGAAATTTTGAGTTGATAATATAATTCTCGGTAAAAATTAAGACTTAATAATAGTTTTAACGTAGTATATTACATAAAGATGGATGGCGTGGCCGAGTTGGTAACGCTGCACTGCTTAATGCGCGCTATCTCGTGAACCAAACTCACGTGAAAACAATAGAAGCTTTATCTTCCATATTATCTCCATTTTATTTTAATAGGAAAGCCAGTTTTTAATTTCTTTCACTATAAAAACCGAGATAAATTTCTTGAAACATTGGATGTATTGTATTCAAATAAATATATGTTAAATGTTTTTTGAGCAATAATTTCTAATAAGTGGTGAGTATTTAAATAGTAAGCCAAAAAAAAACAAATCATATTAAAAAAAATTGTGACCTCTGCTGAAGAAGTAAATTGAGTAAAAAATGGTAGTACAATTTGGACGTGGCATAGTTGGGACAAGTATAAATAATATCTGTCAGTGATTAAAATCACCATCATAAGAAAAGCTTCGATGCAAATCTGTAGATAGTATTTAATTTTAATAAATTGGTGAATTATTCCAAAAGAAAAATTAACTCCTAATTCCTTCATCATTAGTTCAGCTTTATATTTTATATCTAATCATGATACAATTTCAAATCAGCAGTTATATTTTTTCCATTATCACTAATTTTTGATATTATTACTTATTAGTTAAAAGCTATGGGATATAACTATAGAGAAGAAAGTTTTGAATATTTTATATGTATCTTTTGAAATTATTTATTACAATTAATAAATAATTAAAAATACAATAAATTATTTTTAAATTACGATATATAGATATTATAGATTTTGATTTTTAATATTTTAAAAATATTCAGTGCAAAATATCATTTTTAAACCATTTTTTTGGTATTTTGAAGTTGATTTTTTGAAAGTTTATAGTAAAATAAAGTTGAATTTGTTACCATAACTTTTAGCTCAATTTCAGGTTTGAAATTTACATTATTAAATAGAAAATTTTATAAGAATAAAAAAACAGTATTGTAAATATTAACATGTAGTAAGGAAATTGTATAATTACTATTTAATGTAAATTTACCAGAGAAGCTCAATATTTTTTTGCATTTTTACTGTATTAGATCACTTAAATAGAAATCATAGTAATAATTTCTAAGTAATTTTTGACATTTAAAAATATTCTACTTCTACTTAACTGAAAAAACAATTAAAATGTTGTTAAAAAAAATCTACTTATTTGTGTGTATTATAAAATTTGATTATAATTGGAAAATTTTTTTTGTTAAATCAGGTGAAAATAAATTTATTTTTTTTAGAATTATGATATATATAGCAACACGTTACCAAAAAAATTAGAATATTATACTGTTAGTAACACACAAATAAAGTTGAAAAACTAATACATTACAAAGTAAAATGATATATTTTTGTAGTTGAATACTTTTATCATATCAAATCTAATTCGATAATAAATACTTTAAAAATATTAGAAATGAACGATTTGAATTGTTTGTATGTAGAAAGCTGGTTAAGATACATTTTATTTGAATAAGAGTTTTATATTTCAATTTTTAAGGTAATACATCCAACTAAACACGAATTGTAATTATTTGACGTATCGTTGAAAAAAGTAAGTTTACTAAATCGCGGCCACAAAAATACACATTATATAGTAAAATAATATTAACATGAATATAAAATTTCTTCTCAAGAGAAGAGACTATAGTAATGGGTTTATTGATATTTATTGAAGTTATTGAATCTAAACAAGAAAAAAAATCAAATGATTTTAAAATTATTTTCTAACTCAAAAAAAATGCAAAATATTAATTGCCACAGGCGGATTTGAGCCTCGTACCGAAAGCGTGACAGACATAAGTGATTTTTCACCAATTCGGCAACTACTCGTCACTTTCGTCGATTGATAAAATTGGCAATTTAAGTTAATTCAAATTTTAAAGTTACTTTTTCAAATTCAAAAAAGCAAAAAAATTTAAATAAGTTAAATTTCTTATGTCTTATGAAATTTATTCTATGGCAAATAAATTATATAGTATTCATGGAAGTCAGTGTATTCCCCTAGTAAGATTTTTTAAAATAAAATAAAATACAAAACCCAGAATTTTAACACAAAAATAGCATATTTTTGAATACGGTAGCCATTTTCACCAAGAAGAAAATCTATATTTCGAATTTTTTTTTTCATAGTGAAGTATATAATATAAGCTTTAATTTAAGATTAAATATAAGAGTCAATATTTCCGGAACACTTTCAAAACTTCAATTGAAAAAGTTCCACTTTTTATACGTATGTTTCAAGTTTTAACCCCCCTGTGTAAGGGGAAATTGTCCAGTTTAAATAAAAAGTACTTCAAATTAAAATAAAAAATCGACATTTTTAACACAATAATAGCATTTTTTTTATCTACGGTAGTCATTTGCACGTAGGAGGTGTTATAGTACGTGATATAAGCTATAATTTGATATTTAATTAAAGGACGCAGTAATTTCGGAACATTTTCAAAAGTTAAGTTGAAAAATATAGTTTTTGTAAGAAATTTGTCATTTTGAATCCCCCTTGTGGGCATTTAAAGGGTGTAATTTAAAAAAATATATACAAAATGATAGATAAGTACCTCAAGTATCTATATAAAAAAAAAATTTGATATAGAATTTGCTATTTTAAATCTACCCCTGTTAGCAAGTTAAGAATTAAATTTTCAAAAAACTGATATCAAACAAAAGAAAAATATCTAAGGTTTCAATATGAAAAAAAGTTATGTTGATTTTTTAATTTTTGAAAAATTAATTGAAGTTTTATGTTTTAATAAAAAAAAATGACAAAATTTACCAATTTTAAAAATTGTAAATTTTTTGGAGATTTCCATCATTTATTGGGAACGAGGGAAATTTTTTCTATTTTTAAGGATACTGTCTTCAACTAGATACGATTTGTGATCTTTTGACGTATCATGAAAAGAAATCGGTCCAGTGAGAGCTAAAAAAAAGTAGGAACAGTCAAAAAAACACATCATGGTAAAATTAATATCTTCTCAGCTTCGCATGAAAGCTAAAATAAATTGAAGAAAATCTTAATTATTTTCTATTTATTTATTTATTATTAATTTATGTTTTTAAATAACAATGACCGGAGCTCAGTTGGATACAACCCGTATTTATGTATGAGAAAGTGGGACAAGTTTGAGCATTATAGCAAAATATTATTTTCCTTAGATTTTAAAAAACATAGAATTACAAATCTTTTTAGAAATATTTTTAAATTTATTATGCAACACAATGATTGTTTTTTTACTTTTATTGCAAAAACGACATAATATTATTGTTCTACAGAGTGATATTTCATCTGAGCAAGAATAAGTAAATTAAATTATTTTTTTGTGTAATAGCAATTTTTATTGAAATTATAAAGTATTTGAAATTATATTTATTGTTTAAATTAGAGAAGACTATAAAGAGGGATTTTCGATTACAAACGAAATAGCCAGTGTTATTTTTTACTTCGTTATCTATATACCGAATTTTCTATATAAGAAGTTAGTATCTTATCATTAGTTGTACCAACTTAGTTACTGAAAAAATTAAACCTTATAATTAATTATCCAGGAGCATACCTTACGGTGTCATTAGGTCAATCACCCTATTAAAATATTTTTTAATTCAGTCCGGCTTATACCTTCGTTGCGATAAGTCTTGCTTTTATTACGTTCTAATAGTTTCCGTATTTTTATTCTTATTCTTAGTATCGTTTTAGTTCAATACACTCTTTAATACAAACACTTAAGTGTGTTTAACCCATTACTTACCTGCATGCCAAACTCGACGGGTGGATCGGCTCGTCCACCTAATAATGGCGCGTGCCCTATAAAAGTTACTCTACACATAAGTCGTAAAAATTCTGACGTATGGTCAACTGTTGGATCAAAATATAAGTCTAAAAAACAACCTACTACCCCGATTTCTCCAAATCTACAATACTTGTTAGATAACCAACCACAATTATTACCATCTAACACACATTTTCAATGTTGTAGCCAAGAGTCCGTTGACAATAGCGTTGCTAGTACTGCTTATCTGAATGACACTATAACTACGTCTAATAACGCTTCAAATATTATGGATTTCGATAATAGCGTGAATAATACCAACGACCTTGCTAATCAAAATAATGGAACACAAAATAATACATTGTTATTAATAATACCCTTTCAACGTGATTTTGTCTAATTCAAATATAATTGCACGCAGCTTAAACATAGGCCTTAATCTTAAAAACTTTTCGAGTACCTATAATGGGTCTCCAGTAATTCGCATTGAGTCAGTTACTAATAACCAAAATATTGGCAAATTACACCTATTAAAAATCGGTAAGCTTTTTCACAAAAAATTTTTAGGTATAAAACAAATAATTCGAATCGACTCTAGAGTCAAATTTATTTTTGATTCTATAAAATCAGATAACTTATGCGTTAACTCTCAATTACTAAATGGAATGAATTTAAAAGCCTCAATTTCTTCAACTTAATTTATTCACACGGCATTATCCGTTGGATACCTCTATTACGGAAGAGGAATTTTGGGAAGATGTTGAATCTTCAATTTCTATATGTGACTTTCGCAGAATTTCAACATGATAAAACGCTAGCTCTCCTACTCAGACAAATTTAGTAGAACTCAATTTTCTTTTTTCTTTTTAAATTTTTGGCACAATATCTATTACTAGAAGAAATGGTCTATTTGTATCCAATCCCACTAGATTCGAGAAGTAAATCGTGGTTAAAGCTGCTCGATACTGTCATCAAGACTGTTACATGACCTCTATGATTCCTCTATACCCTTTAAGACTACGACGAAGTTTTCTAAATCAAACAAAATCAATAGGCATAGAGCGACAAGTTGTGTTATTTTACGTTGAGTTTCGCCATTGCCCGATCATTGCATGGGGTTAGTTTATTCTTTCTCTAACTATGGAGAGGTGAAGGAAAAGGAGAAGTTCTTCTCCTGCCTTAGGTTAGTTTATGTTGTATTTACTACTCCCTTCAAAGTTCCCAATTTTACACTAACTCTTTCTCACCGTCATTGCTTTGTGTCGGATCAGAAAAATGATTTGCACTTTCAATGCATAAATTTTCATCATCAATAAAAGTCTCATTTTGCAGTCTTAAAATATTATCTGCAAATGTATTATCACTTTCGCATAATCTTTTGGAATAACCAAGTTTATAATTCATCTTTTTACAGATTGCTGCTGTTTAACAACACTAAAATACACTTATAGTTAACCCATAATTTTAATACATGTTATCAGTAGTTATTCATTTATTTAGTTAAAACTTAAAGGTATATACTACAGACGATGTGTTTGTTTCAAGTGGCAAGATCGAAATTGATAAAATAATAATCAAAGCGCAATGAGATACCGCAGGTCACTAATTAAAGGTTAAAAAACTTGATTCACTTATTTGAAAAAAAATCTATTGGTCTCTTAAAAAAAATATTTTATACTAAAAATTATAATAAAACGTTCGCCCTTACTGTAGATGTTTAATATAATTTATTTAAATATTTAAATAAATCCTATTAAAATATATTCAAAGGTTTACATAAAAACAGTTGATTCTAGGTTTACTATAAAAAGTAATTTTTTTCAATTAAATATTGTGATAATTACAAATAAGTGCATGGATTCTATTAAAATAAATATTGTTTTTAATAAATTTGTAAATATTTTTTTTTTTTATAAATTAAACTATTATTCAGTTATTGAGAAATTTAAAATAATAAATATTATGATTTATACACCGTGAAGTATTAGACCTACTGTTTCTGCCTTGAAAAGCAATAATAAGAATTATGTGTTTTTATGCTTCTTTAGTAATACAAAAAAAATATTATTTTTTGTTATTTATTCTTCAACAATAAAATACAAAGCATTCTATATTAATGAAAACTATATATCCGTCTACAACTATATAAACTATGTTCAAGACCAAAGATTTCGATTTATATTTAAAAAAATTCTTTTTATACATTTTTGATTACAATCATAAGTCAAATAATTAAAAATATTAATTATTAATTGGATGGTTTATATAAAATTCTTTCAGATAGTTTTTATGCTTTTTATAACAACCAACATTTCATTGAATATTATTTTTCAGAAAATATTCATTGCAAATATCACATTATTGGTTGTTTTAATAAAATGTAAGAAGGTTTTGACCATTAATGAAATTGTCGTGGACGCAACAGTAAATAGAGGCACTGATGAACCAAAAAGTAAAATATATAAACTTGTTTAAATCTTTATATCAAAATAAAATTCTTCCGGCTCTATAGTAGGCATATAATATGCTTTTTGAAACAAGCACAATTGCAGTTTGTCCAACGAAACTCAACCAAACCTATTTGTATTATACTATTGTTTGATTAAATTTGTTAATTCAATAGACCAATTATTGATATAATAATTGAAAGCCGATACGCAAATAACAATTATCCAATAATTAATAAAAATACGTGATTCTATTAAAAGCAGCTATGTATTTTGCAAGATATAACTAAGTTTTTGTTCAATTGTTTATCAGTTTGATTGTTTTTTTCAAAAATTATCTACTTAGAACGAAAAAAGTGATACCGTGAATAGGCGAAGTACACGCTCTGCCCTAACTATATTTTATTTTAAATATTGGTGGACTCAATGATTAAGTAATTTATTTAGAAAACAATATTTAACAAATTATATGCATAATTACGTGGAAACGGATTAATGAATATTTTACTTTTATTAACGTTTTTAAACGTTAATAAAGTTTCTTATTTTCATAAATTATTATTTTTTAGATTGTCTCATATGTCTTGAAGAATTAGAGGTGAATAATTTTAAACTACCATGTTGTCCTGGGACATTCCATAAAGAATGTTTAGATAAATGGTTAAGTTATGGAGTAATATCATGTCCATATTGCAACGGAAATCCACTTGAAGGTATATTAAAAAAAAAAAAAATGAATTTATAATTAAAGCATTCGTTTACAATTACCCCATTTAATTCTATTGATTTGAAAGAAATATTTTTGAAGTTTTGAATATGAATTCTAAAATAGAATTTTAGTAGTAGAGAAAATGTTTTTTTCAATGTTCATGACTATTTCATTTAAAATAATTAATTATCAACGTCAATAACATCATTGGGAAAATCCCCTCAATTTAAGAAATTGAAAAAATATTTTAAAATTACATTTATGTAAAAATTTATATTTTTCAAAAAACATTTTCTGCACTTTTCACTGTGAAGACAAAATAAAGTCCGAAATTTTTTTTTTATATTAAAATATATAAATAAGTTTTAATCTAAGATATATATAAAAGTGTCAGTATATCCGGACCACTTTTAAAAGTTGAAAAAGTTGCCATAATAAGACTTATATTGTTGTAACTTATAAGTGTTGAAAACGTGTTTTTATTTATATTTTAGAAATCTTGATAATAATATCAAAACTAATTTTTCTTTAAAGCATAAGTATTTTTATTACAATTTTTACTCAATTTTTGTTAATTAGCCAACAATTTAATTTTATTAGGATATCATACATGATAACATGATATATAGTTTATAATGTGTAAATCTCTAGATAAGAATTTTTCTGTCGTATGCCTAAAAGTTACTATTAATCCTATCGAGATGAATTCAATTGAAATCAATAAATATATTTTAAAAAAAAAGAGTCAAAAATTTGATAAACACCAAATTTATGTAGCTTATTGTTATATTTTAATGCATGTCATGTTATTTGATTTATTAATTAAAATCTTAAATAGTACATAATAACAATAATGATATACCTTGTAAATCATAGCAAGTCACTATATGCTCGACTGATACTCTGGAATGTCTGTGGGCGTCGAAAGGCCTTTATTATTGGAGGGGAATAAGGGTAACTTCTTGGTATTAGGCGTAGGCGAAGTGCAAGACACAAGTACTCCAAAATATAGAGGACAAAAATAGGCAAGTGTAAAGGACGTAAAAAGGAATTGACTTGATACAGTAAGCCGGACAGCGACAATCGAGATCTGAGAATGATGAATGACATAAAGCATTTGGCTACGTAATGGAGTCGCCTGACTTGGATGGCCAGGTCATTTGGGTTTAAATAGTGATATATTCTTTGCTAATTTCGCAAAATTGTTTTTATTGTCAATTCATCAGTCACTAGCAGCAAATACGCGGTTTGTGTTTTATTTTATAATATTTTACAATATCACATGAAAAATAAAATTTTCACGTGTTGATAAGTACACCAAGGTCAATATTACAGGGGTAAGTCAATTTTATAATGAAATTGTGGTGTACATATAGTATTGATTTAATCAATCAAATATTGTAACTTACGCAAATTTATATAGTAAGTAAGAGACCAGTAGCCCATCAAATAATGATCCAATATCGGGCTTATTTGGAGTCCTCCTAGCACCGATAACAGTTACTTATATATTTTACTGAGTACTTTAGCATTTTGTAAATAAACTGCTCTAAAAGTTTTGAGATTTTTTGAGATTAAAGAAATATGGTTCTAAATATCTAGTGAATTAAAATGAAGTTTTTTTAATGAAAGTTTTTTTTTTTAAAGATTATCGCATTTGCTTAAAGTGTAAGTATACTGATAATGAAGAAGAACTGGTAAAAACGAAATGTTGTAATAGAGATTTATGTAAATATTGTATTGAGTATAAAATGGAAACTAAATGTTTGTGCGGAAAAGACTTAGTAAAAGGTACTTTATATTCTTTTTACTTTTTTAGCATGTAATAATTGGTTTGTAGTATCGATCATATTAACAGAGTCTGATAAAAGTAATTTAAAGATTATAAGCAATAGACTTAGATAAGTTGATTGTTATAATATGGTAATTTTATATTCAAAATAATAATATTATAATGAACCTACTATCTTACTAAGAAATTAATTTATTTTTAATTGTGATCCCCTACCTCCATGTCTATTGATATTCATATATATTTGATTAGTGCACAAATAAGGAAGTTTGATTAATATTTCCAAATACAAAACTTAAGTTAATAAGATGAAACAGATTACATACAGTAAGTGTGCGTGATTGTTCCAAATTAAATGCGCAATATTAGGTGAAATTGGGGCAGATTTATTGATTTTATTTTATACCAAAATATTGGTTTCACGGTTCTCATCAGTAATTTAGATATTTTTGCATATTTTTTGACTTTCAGTTTAAATATTAAACTAATAAGCTCTTAAAATTTTTCATATTTTATTACAAATACAGGTAGTTAGTTGCTTTATTTTTGACGTCCCAATCACAGATACACGATATTTACTGTCAATTATGACTTTATCATAAGATATAAATTTTTTTATGCAAATTGGTGTATTTGTAAACTCACAAAAATGTGTCTTACCACCATATTTTAAGAATATTAGTTGATAATGTCATAATAAAATAAAGTCAATAAAGGCTGCGTATCTGTAAATGGCAATGTAATAAAAATTCAATTATCTATCTGTATTTGTAATCTATCGTGTATTATACATGTTATTAACTCATGAAGTTATGTTAAAAATTTAAATACCATTTTACTATTAAAATTTTTTATTTAATGATATAAATTCTAAAATTGCAAGTTGAGTTAAAATTGTGTTTAAAAGTTCAATATTTTTAAATTATAAACTTTTATAAAAATCAACCTTAATGGATAAAAAAATTAAGTTAAAAATGTCATTTTGTGCTGAAATTTTGCACGGATTATTTTTAATATAATAAAAATCTATAATAACTTAATAAAACAATTTTTTTTCATATGTTTCTAATTAGTAATAATCTCAAAAAAGAAGTGATAGAAAAAATCTAATTTCAGATTTGAAATCAGCATAAAAATTTGGTTTAGTTAAGTTTATATTGGTCTTTAATCATTAAAATATATTTTATTTTACTGATTTGATGTTACAGTGTAGTTCAGTATAAAAACAAATTTTATACGCCTATAAATTTTGAGATATTTTAAACAATAGCGTAATTTTTAGATATTTGTCTGAATTTCTAAAATTACAGGGTTTTTCCAATCTTTGGGGATTATAATTTTAACAAGATTAAAATTGTATTCTTTTAACGTATTGGTCATGAAAATTGATCAATTGAAAGCTGAGAAAATTAACGACAGACACATAAATAAGCCATACAGTAATATATTTTAATATAAAAAAGAAAGTCGTTCTCACAATAGGAAAATAAAGTGATAGGATCCTCAATTTCCATTGAATATTTTGATTGAATGTTATTTAACATTATTAATTTCAATTTTTTTTTCTACCACAAAAAATAATTAAGAAAAAAAGTTGTTGCGGCTGTCGAGGTTCGAACTACCGTACACTACGTGTAAGCATAGATAAAAAGAACTATTTAAACTAAATCAAATCTTCAAAGACGTTTTTCTTAATTTTGAGGTGAAAAATAATCAAAATAAGTTTAAATTTATATTTAATGTAACTTTTATAATNTTTTGAGGTGAAAAATAATCAAAATAAGTTTAAATTTATATTTAATGTAACTTTTATAATAATTTGTGGGACTTATTATAACAACTAACCCTTGTAAGATATTTTAAAAAAAAAAAAAAAAAAAAAAAAATTTGAACACAAAAAATAGCATGTTTTTTAAATGCAGCAGCCATTTGCACGTAAAAGATAAGTCGACGGGACAACACTTTTTTTTTTTTAATTTATAGTATTTAATATAAGCTTTAATTTGACATATGTTTAAAGGACACAGTATTTCCTGTAACTTTCAAAATGTTAGTTAAAAAATGGACTTTTGTAAAAAGTTGCTATTTTGAATCTTCTCCATGGGCAAGTAAAGGTTTAAATTAAAAAAAAATGTATATCAAATTTTGGAAAATACCTAAGGTGTCAATATAAAAATAAAATTGTTTTGATTTGTTCATTTTTCGAAAGTTATGGCAGTTTTAAGACAAAAGAGAAAAGAAAATGTCGAAATTTATCAATTTTAAAATTTGTAATTGTTTGATTTGTTAATATTTCAATAAGTTATACCAGATTTAAGAACAAAAAACATCACGATAGAAGGTGATTCTTTTTACAAATATTACATTTTTTGTTGAATTTCAGCGGTCATTTGCACATAGAGGTTAAGTCGTTGGGTCAAATTTTTTTTTTTTCAATTTTTGTGCGTTTTATAAGGTTTAATTTGAAATATATTAAAAGAATGCAGTATATTCGGAACATTTTCAAAATTTAAGTTAAAGAAGATCTCATTTTTATGCGTATGTTTCAAGTTTTGGACGCTCACTGTATAAGGGTAAATTGTCCGATTTAAAAAAAAAGTTTTGTCAAATGAAAAAAGTATATATAATGTATTTAAGTAAAAAAAAAATTGTGTTTATACATACATTTTTCGAAATGTTATAGCAACTTTAAGTTAAAAATATAAAATTGAAAATTGTAACACAAAAGTAGCAGGTTTTTAACTACGGCAGTTATTTGCGCGAAGAAAATAAATCGTCGGGACAGTTATTTTTTCATTTTATAGAACATGACAAAAGCTTTAATCTATATTTCGACTAGATACGATTTGTGATCTTTTGACGTGTTGTTGAAAGAAATAGGTCTAGTGAGAGCTAAGAAAAAGTGGCAAGAGGCACACACAAAAAAAAAAAAACACATCATGATAAAGTTAATATCTTCTCAGCTTCGCATCGAAGCTAAAACAAAGTTGACACCCTTACAAGATATAAGAGTTGAACTTGTGGGATATATTTAATATTTTATAAAATTCAATTTATTTTAATGTAAAATGTATTTATTATTTTTTTATGCGTTGAGTAGTATTCATATTAATGGTATGAATATGAATTGCTGGTGTATTAGTGGTATATGTGTGATTATTATGAGTATTTTAATTTTGATAAAAATTTTAAATACCAATAATATATATAATAGTAGTATGTCACTCTATAAGCGTGTAACGTATAATATGGTTTTTGTAATAATCAGTTCTACACATTTTAATCCATTTATAGTGCTTATTTATTTATACAACTGCTATAAACTTAAAAAGTATTACACAATAAATAATTCAAGAATAACATATAACTAAAGACAAGCAAACATGAAATTAAAAATTATTTTTATTATGTTAGTAATTGAGTGGTTTATGAAAAAAAAATCACTCTGTATATTCAAAATATAAAATTCAACTATGTTTAAGATAACTTCAGCGTGGAAATAATATTCTTTCACGACAATAAAACTGTTAAATACTTCATAATTTAGTAAAGTTCAATGACTAAAATCTAATATTTAATTAAAAATTTTGCTATTCATTTTTTAGCAATTACTTTCGACCCTGACCGTTTGTGCTCTGATTGTAAAACGTTACGTGGAACCAATACTTTTTCTTCTCGTTGTCCACACGTTTATTGTAAGAAATGCTATGAAGATTTGGAATATTGTAATTTTTGTGGTGAAGAAAAAAGAAAAAATCGCTTTTATGCGTTTTTTAATCGTTTTTTATGTGTTTTTTACTAATTTTAATAAATACAACTATAATTATCTACATTTGAAATAAACCAGATTGTTTGATTAAAATTACAATATATTATCATTATATAAAAAAATGGCGTAACAACAGTTATTTCAATAAGAGGTGCGATTATGTACAATTATGTCCAAATTATAGCTACACAAATACTCAGTCAATTTATTTGTTAAATATTTGGTCTCACGGTATTCTCCTTTTTCTACGGCTTTTTATTTCTTTTATAACAAAAACTTAATTCTTACTTTTATCTTCTTTCCAATATTAATTTTAACCTAGACGATTTTAGTATCAGACTTCTCTCACTTAAAAATAATAAACATTGGATCCTGATGGTATTGAAGTGATTTTTTATATAAACTAAGACATAACATAGCTTGATTTATATTTTTAGAAGTTATAAAACCCCCACAAAAAAGTATATTTCCTCTCTTTAAATTAAGACTTATAACTCCTATTCTTAAGTTTATTGATTACACTAGTTTACAAATAAAAAAAAATTTTCTGACCTATGACTTATGATAGTCATTTTTATGTAAAATTGTCCATTGAGTCCGAAAATGAAGTCCAAAATACAAAAAGTAGAACAGTTTTTGAGTTATTGCGAAATTATCGTTTTTCGTGTACCGCATAAAAATGTTTTCATTATATTCTAAATATCTTTAATTGCATTCAACCGATTTTCATTTTTTTTACATAAAACTGCTCATCACTAATTGGTAGCACTGTACATTTTGTCATTTGAAATAAAACGGATAAATTTATTTTGGTCAGTGAGGCCAAGGTGAAGTTTTTATGTTCGTAATTCAAAATTTCATTTTGAAAGAAATAACCTTAAGTTATTTAAAAAATCGAAATTTTGTTTTGAAAAGGAATATTGTGAGTAATTTTTCTACATTTTACAAAAAAAAAGCATCGAATTAAAAAACTCTGATATTAGGAAATTTGTTTTATTTTTCAATCGCGCATAACTTCTACATTTTTTATCAATTTTACAAAATAATATATCATTTTCTTTGTTATATATTAGAGTATAACGTCTATTAAAATGATTGTTGTTAAATTTTTTTTTTATTGGTGTATTTTACGTAAAACTGAATTTTTTCTGACATTTTGAAAAAAATGATAAAAATTCGGTAGTAAATTCGTAGATAGCAAACGACAAAAAAATCAAATAAAAAATTGTTTAAGATAAAAGTTATAGGTAATTTAATACTGTTTAATTTTATATAAAAAAAAAATGAAAATCGGTTGAATGCAATTAAAGATATTTAGAATATAATGAAAACGTTTTTACGCGGTACACGAAAAACGCTAATTTCGCAATAACTCAAAAACTATTCTACTTTTTGTATTTTGGACTTTATTTTCGGACTCAGTGGACGATTTTACATAAAAAATTACTATCATAAGTCATAGGTCAATTTTGTTGTAAACTAGTGTTATTAATGCGCGATTAACTATCGCATCATATACTTGCTAATGAGTAATTTTTCGATTTATATGTAAATATATATTTTTATTAAACACATGATTTATAATTTTTGGCCAGTGATAAATTTTATTTTACATAATTTGTAATAAAATAATATATACTATATTCTACATATATTTGCATATTTTTTAAAATTCTTTTTATTATTAATAAAAATGAAAATAATTTGTCAATTCACATTATCAAATATAAAACATATTATTTATCTTCGGTAAGAATTAACTCGTCATAAATTGAGCATATCATATTAGCACTATTGGACTATAAATAATCAACGAAATAACCAGTAAAACGCTAACTAAAGCACGACCGTATATAATGAACGACAATTGATAACTAAATATACTCTGAATATTTTTAGATTATTCTTTGTATAAGAAATAAAAGTGTCGTAAGACAAAAAAAGAGAGTTATACTTAGGAGATTAACATCAAGGTGCAGACGGAATACAGGACACAAATACTAAGCGTACCAGAGAAAATTATAACCAATTATAAGGTACAGACTAAGTGCAATACACAAGTACTTTAGTTAATCAAAAGAGGAAACAATTAGGTGAAGGCATCAAGAATGAATTAACTCTTGGCGTAAGGTTAAAAATTGGACGGCGACAACCGAGTACTGAGACTTACGTTTTGACAATAAATCATCATATGCGTACTAGGGTCAATAGATCACGATGACCTTCTCCAAATGATTTAAGTAGTGTTTAAATTAATTTGTCTATTTTTATTAAATTGTCAAGTCATCAGTCGCCAGCAGCAGAAGTGTTACCTTAATTTGTTATTGCTTTTTTTACAGCTATTAAAAATATCGATGATACTATGATAGAAGTAAGAACTTTTTTAATAAAATTAGAACAAAAAATATTTTATATACACTTGATCAATTTTAGTGTAAGGGGTTTAACATTTTAAGTATGTGTCCCTGATTTATTTTGTAAATGCGTAGAGTATAGATAACATGGTCGTCCGACCGTCGTCATACATAGGAATGTGCAGACCAAGTAATTAAGGGCAATTTATGGTCGAAGGATTCCCACTATAGTTTCCACATAGTTAGTCATGATTTAGTATACGCTAATTACACTCTTGTGTTATTCCATATCATAATTCATCTTCATTTTGCATCATTCTATATCATTCTATGTCATTCTATTTCATTATCCTATTTATTTGTATTGATATAAAGAATTAATGTTGTATTGTATTGTTTAAAGTTTTAATATTTTCATAACAATAAGTAGTGGACAATATGTTAGAGTCGAGTATGTAAACCAACTCAAGTCAACTGACTCATCAATTATTACTATTCTTCTTGGGTTTTCCGGCCATCAAGTTTACCCCATCACACATCCAATCAATTGAAACCTTCCCTATCCACCGCTCTTGTTTTCCAATCCCGTCCTCTGTTCAGTGTTTCTACGTCGTTTCTTATCACATCTTCCCATCTCAATCGTATTCTTCGCAGTGGTCTCTTACCAACTGGGTTCTCGTTAATGATCATTCTTATAAAATGGTTTTAGTTTCGTATAGCATGGCCAGCCCATTAAAGTTTTCGGTTTCTAATTACGCTTAATATGTTTTCTTTCCGAAACACCCTTTCCAGTTATAATTATATTATTCACAAATGGTTCAATAAAATAAAATCTTTACTCTAATTCCTTTCACGTGACGAAATTAAATAATAAATCAAAGAGAATTCTTTCGTATACATAAAGAAAGTGCACATAAAAAAGACAGCCAACAATAACATGGGTTTGTAACTGAAAGTAATTCTAAATTGGAATTCGACAGAGGTGAACTGAGCTCTAAAAAGATTTTAGTGCTTTTTAAAGTGTGTAATAATACCCCCCTCCAGGGATATTAATGTCAGCGCGTATAGTGATCTTTTTAGTTAATTGTGTTTCATTATACATTACATGATTATTATATTGAGATAGCACAATTAACAATGAATAAATTGACATATATATAAATCGTAAGAAATTGTGTTGAACAGTGTACATGCTATGACAGGATAAGTTATTTGTTTGCTTACAAGTAATATAAAATACATATTATAAATTTTTCATTGATAAATGTAAGATGCGTAATGCAAGGCATTGGGCATATTACGACAAGACTCAAACATGTAGTTAAAAACATTGAACTCAAAAACAAAACAAATAAAGTATGTTTTTTTATTATCGTGTTTTAAATTAAAAAAATTCACTTTTTATTGAAAACCTAATTGGTTTATACATTAGAAAACTAATAGCGTCCAAGATATTTAAGACAGAAAGATTGTTTGCTACATTAATTCATATATGTGTGTAAAGAAAATACTTTTTTTATTTAAATATTATACGCGCCTTATATTTATCCCCCCCAGATGCAACTGATCAAGATGACTTGATAAGATGATAAAATTTTGAAGATTTGATAATAATAATAAATAAAAATTAAATTTAAAAATTTTTAATATTGCAAATTGTTTTTCAGATTGTTAATTAAGCAAATTGTTAATAAGCAAAGAGTGATAATAGTAAACATAAATTGTTGTTTCTTTTGTTTTTACAGGTAATCTTGTAAATAGTTTAAATAATATAAAATAAATAACTTTTGTTTTTACAGAGAAACCAAGTGGTTATTATTATCCGTAAAAGAATATTAAAAATATTAAAATAAATTTTTAATCATTTTTCTTTTTTTCAAATAATTTTCTTAGATTGCGGCGATCGACCGTTTGGCCAGTTCGTGGTTAGGACGTGTTTGGCCCCAAGTACCCCTTCATCCTTACCCCCTTTATATTTAATACATATATATTATATATACATATAATATATTCTATTATATTCTTTTACCATATTTTTATTTATTACATACTATAATTCATCGGGGCACACGGCTGAAATTCTCTTACTTTTCTGACTGTTTCGAAGCCTTACAATTTTTTTTTCGTGACTCACCGGTTCTTTTGTTTGTTGTCTTGTTTAAAACGGACGCGGACGAATTTTTTATAGTAACATAAATTTAGATTTCAAACTATTTTTCGTGAAATTTATGCGTCAAAAAGTTGCTCTACAGGGCATTGTTAACTCGTAGAGCAATCTTTGTATTATTTCAACGTTTTCGGTCGAAAATATAAATAATAGATAAACAACACGTCCGGAAGACGTGCGAGACTACAAATTAATTGTTTGAATTACAACAATTAAGCGTTAAATTTTTTTTTTTTTTCATTTACAACATTTTATAATTACAAAATAACTTTACTCATATTGTAATAACTGTGTCTCTGTGAAAAAAAATCAATTTAATAAAAAACACAATGATTTATAACTTGAATGCCGTAAAAATAATTCGCTTACATCGATATCTGGTAGGCTGAGAAAAATCGATAAGATCTCATGAACGAGCATGATTGTAATCGAGACGATTGCGATTTTTGAAAAATGTGTTCGTCTCGCCGCGAGTCTTTTAACCGTTTCGAAAAACAGAAACGCACAAAAAAAACTTTATAACGACAGAAGAGTCGTAATATCGTCGCGCGATAAAAAATAAAGTCTAGTAGAGATATAGCGTCGTGCGCGTTTCCAGCCAGCTCTTAAAATCGTACACGATCCGATAGAAGAGAAACAAACACCGGTCGATAGCGGATTCTGAACCGGTGCTTTTTTGGAGGTGATGGCGATTTTGACGTTTAGTAGATGGAGGGCGAAGGTCGCCGCTAGTACGACCGTTTCCTTTATCAGGACGCATTTCTCGACCTCGCTCATCCTACAAAGGTATACGTGGGATGATACTAAAAAGTAATTAAAAAACCGGCCCTGGAGGGGCTCTCGCATTTGACTAAACCCGACTGTTTTGATTTTCCAACCAAACCCAACCTACCGGGGCGACGGCGGTTTTCGACGGAATTGGTCGAGTTGCTTTTGGTAGTCACCGCGGGATCGTTATCGTTTTCCGCGTTCTGTAATTCGTCGTCGTCTGTTAATTTTTCTTTATTTTGTCAGTAATCAGATATAATTAAACTAAAGGTTAAGCCGTAATTTAGTAATAAAGGATATAAATTATAGTAATTAAGTATATTAAGTATAGTTAATTAGTAATTTATGTGTAATTAAGGAGTATATAAAAGTAGTTAAGGGGTATTCAGAGAGTAGATAGGAGTGAAGTTAGTAGTTAAGGGGTGATGCAAAGAGTAGATTGGGGGTAAAATTAGTAGTTAAGGGGGAATAGAAAAGAGTAGATAGGGGTAATTTAGTAGTTAAGGGGGAATATAAATAGTAGATAGGGGTGAAGATAGTAGTTAAGGGGTGATGCAAAGAGTAGATAGGGGTAAAATTAGTAGTTAAGGGGGAATAGAAAAGAGTAGATAGGGGTGAAGATAGTAGTTAAGGGGTGATGCAAAGAGTAGATAGGGGGTAAAATTAGTAATTAGGGGGTATATAAAGAGTAGTTAGGAGGTTAGTTATTTAGATATTTTAATAATAAAAAAATAAAAAAATAAATTACAATAATTGTGTGTATTTTGTGGGACACGTTCGCGTATGACGTAATCGGATTTTAATTTTAAATAATTTTTCTAATAATTTATTACAATCGATTTATGTTGAATGTGTTTTTCGAACACCTAAAAATAGTAATAATTCATCGTACAAATCGTCGTCGTAGACTGTAACTTAAATATTTTAATATATTATAGTTATATAATTAAACGTATTATTTAATTTTATATATTATAATATATAACTACAACGCAGTATGTGTAAGTATAAATAAAGTTAGTTGATCGTAAAACAACTGACGGCGTACGTTTTTACCATTTAGATCATTATGTATTTAACCGCTTATAAATTTCTATATGACAATCAAATAGTCGAGGGTGAATAGGTGGGTATGCAGTGATAAACATGAATTAAATAATACGGACGGAGATTATGATTACGATAACCTGCAGACAATTCTGAATGAACTCCGATAAGTGGTATACAAATTGTTACGTAAAAGAATTGCAAAAAAAAAGAAGTTTCTCAAAAAATTTTACGAACAAACCAGTAATCTATATGGAAGATTATGGTTGTCCGAGAATCGATATACTTTTAAGTGATAGTTGCGATTTATCAAAGGATATATGTTTATTTCATAAAGACAATGATGATTGTTGTATGAATAATCATGTTAAAATATTATATTCATGGTTAATCAATAATTTTTTAATGTAAAATAATTGTTTTATAAAATGTTTAATTATAAATAGTAAAAATACATTTTTTTCCCATACAATTTTAGATGAATTAATAAATATTTTGTACATCACATTAAATGTTTTATGTGTTCAATTATTGTATAGTATACATTTAAAAAATATGTTATTATTTCTATGCTGCATATATGGTAAGAAGTACCATTATTTTAACCAAACGATGTAACATTCAAACGATATTTCTTTTCTTACATTAAGTACGTAGATATTAACTGTATGTTTGATGTAAACAATAAGCGTTCATTTATCACAACGTTTAAATACAATTTCAGTAATGTTTTTATAATTTTACTCATTCAATCGCGTATGTATTTTATTACTCGTACAATAATATGTATTTTACAACTATTTAGTATTATACATAATTTTTAAAACAATTATTTCAATGAGAGTGTCATACTTTGGAATATAAATAATCTTTAAAAGTAAGTAATAGAATTCATAAATTTTCTTTATCAATAAAAATTATTAATTCATTATAGGCTATCAAAGAATAATATAAAGATCATGCGAGTTAAATTATCTATTTTATATGTATAGATAGGTTACAAATTAACGTCCAAAATAGCACAATATGACAAGTCAATCAAATTACAAAATATATGTATACACTTTTTCATAAGTACGAACCTATTCATAATTTGTATCATACAATAATTGTATACCAATTATTAGTAGATTGATTAGAAAATAAAAATCATAAGTTAACTTACAATGTTTTATTTTATGTTCACATAGAAATAATTTTTCTGATAATAGTTCAAATTTTTTTACAAGTAATATTAACCAACCAACCAAGTAATATTAAATTAAAAAATTACAATTTAACCTGAGTTCAATAATTACAACAATTACTAAATCAAATGTCATTACATAATTTTTTTCATTAACATACAAATAATTTTGAACTTTGATAATTATTTTATTTTTTATTTAACATAAGATATAATTTCAAAAGTTACATTTAATTTATTAAATTAATAAATCAATATTTATCATAAGTTTGTTAAATACTTTAAGTTTAATTCACAACGGTTAATTTTATATCTACATACAACTAATTTTTATTAAACTGATAATTAACTTATCTATTTTTTTATTTTAGACTAAAATTTTAAAAGTTATCATTTTATTAATAAATATTACATAAATTCAATAAGTATTTACAAACAATAACGTAGAGATACGCAAATTTTACTATTTACTTTTTAATCCAAGAGAGGGAGAGAAGGAGAAATATATTAATGACCCCAGGGTAGCATATCGTGACTGTTTGATACTTGATACCTACTTAAATTAATTCTAATGCAATTTTATTAATATTTCGGTAAATAATTTATATTCGTATGAACGAAAAACATACATGCTATGTAACATTTTAAGATCGTGAAAACTTATACAATTAAAATAGTCATTTTCACTTATTGTCTCGTTTAATACCCTTTTTTCTCAAATATTTACCACATCGCATCGTGTATGTTTTACTGCATATCCCAATATATTTGTTATTATTTTTCGTATTGATTTGTTTTCACCCATCCGTCGATTAGTACATCAGAAATTCCTTTATTATTTAACTAGTACAGATATACGGGTTCAAAAATAGTAGTAATTTTGTTGGATTTTAAAATATTTTTCTAAAAATCACTGTTTTCACTATCGTTTTTAAAGAGTATAATATACATTTAGTTAGACTTTATGTCGTAACTCGAAGTTTGATCTTTTCGTCCGTTAGAAACAAGAATAGACCTTAAATTGAACACCTACTTTAAGGTACACATTTGCTGCGTTTATTTTGCATACCATTTAACCATTTTTTATTGTATATATTTAATATACACATCACATGTATCGTCCGGTACAGATTTTTCGGAAATTCGCGTCTCTTTCGAAAAAACAATTGGACCTCATCGCGCGACCCGTTATTAACATCGTTATCGTTATCGATATCGTCGCTTGGGTTATTGCGATTTCATCACTATCATTGTTGCAATTTCGTTATTGTCGTTTTCGTTTTTTCCGGCATGCCACTCGAAAACAAAACCGTACACACACACATATATGTTTATGTATATATAATTTTACGCCTTGCGAGTCGGCGCGTCAGGGCCGCGCATCAAGTCGACCCACGGCGGGCGAGCGACCGCGGCGGCGGCGTGGGGCTATCACGAAACCATGGCCGATGATAACGATAAGCGCGTAACGATGAATACGATAAGCGGGGGCCGATAAAAAACGATGATGGCGTGCCATTGGTGAAGGGGGTGGGCGGAAAAGATCAGAAAAACGACGATTGCGATCGACGGAAATCGTCCAACGATTTTCGTCGTCGTCCAGGAAGAGGAGGAGAAAACAACGACAAAAAAAAAAAAGAGTTGTAACCTTTACATTTCCACCGGCACGGAAGCCGCGCGCACGCACTCACTGACGAACACGACGCAACTTACGCGTGAGTAGAATCAACGTGTGTGTATAATATACACTGTATATGTTGTAAACGAAATAAAAATCCAATTCAACCGCGAAACACGTTCGAGTCGAACACGACACGACAATAATTAAAAAATAATATGCATGCATATACACAGGGTGATTGAAATCTGGTAAGACACTCATTTTCTCAGAAAATATTGAGTATTTTAAATTTTATTAAAGAGAAAAAATATCAAGTTCAAAAAACTCTACAATAATATGTAGTCAAACCAATATTTTTTTCGTCCCTTCAAGGATAAAAACCCTTATTTATAATTTTCTTATATAGGAACCCTTATTTTTAACTTTATAATATGATAGAAAAAAAATTACAAACAATTTTGTTCTTATAATTTTTATTATCCGATTAACCGTTCGTCCGTTACAGCTTGTTAAAGTTAAGTGCTTTTATGCCAAATTTCTATTGTCATTTTACTGTATTAAATACAGAAGTCATTATTTTTATTTGCTATATTTTATTGATCAAGTTATGACAGGTAAATTAGCTATAAAAATGTTCTACGCACTAAATGACTGATAACAATAATAGATCCAAACCGGGTTTTCGATGTATTATTAATGGCTGAGTCTATGGTTTTGTTAGACTAAAGGATCTAACAAAAAAACCGGTTGCACTGCCACCAATATTATGAAACGTAATAAATGACAATATTTTTTCTAGAAGTCAAAATCTTTAAACAATTATAAAACGTAAACGGTTGTTCGGATAAAAAAAATTATAAGAACAAAATTGTTTGTAATTTTTTTTTCTATCATATTATCAAATCAATAATAGTGTTTCTCATTTAAAAAAATTATAAATAAACATTTTTATCCCTGAAGGGATAAAAAAAAAAATTATTTAACTTCTTATTATTGTAGAATTTTATAAACTTAATAATTTTTCTTTATACAAAAATTTTAAATTCTCAGTAGCTTCTGAGAAAATAAGTGTCTTACCAGATTTCGATCACTCTATATATATATAGAATGTTATATATTTAAATAGATATATTGTATATGTAATTATAAAATGTTATATGTTTAAATAAAAATATAGACTGCTGTAGACATAGGGTATGACTTATGTGTGTGTGTATACGTGTGAGATGATGTTTAAAACGTAGTGAAAATTCAAATTTCATTCCTGAATATAAACGTCGTCGCCGACCATTACTATTGTTGCTACTGTTGTTATTATTATTATTTATTTTTATTTTAGAAAAATTAGTTATTTTATTTAGAAATATTTTTTCAAAGTTAGATTCCAAATAACCGAATTGGACCGCGGTGGTGTCGTACGCGAAGAGCGCGTCATGTACGTGAGAAAAACAATCGGTTTCTTGTGGATGTTGATCATGGCGATTACTCTGTGGAACAAAGTGAGTTCACGTACAAACATGTAGATATCTATATAAACATGTATATATGTATATAAATTAGGATGGTCCTTAATTTTAAACTTTAAATGTTTATAGTCAGGATCCCTCCATTTAGTTATGTTGACTTATAAAAGTGTGTGTTAAAAATTTGAGTTAGATAGACCCACCATATAAACCACTTCTATAAATAGAAATTATGATTATCTTAAACGAAAAAATAATAAGATACCATTACTGTAGACGCAAACAGGGTAAGCCTAATGTTATCTCATGTAAATAGTAGTGACGAGTATAATACGATATACAGGAGACAATTGTAATTTAAAAATAAACATTGAAAAAATAACTTTTACTTCTTAACTTTTTTATTAATTATAGGCAAAACATTAAATATTACAAAAAGTCTTATTAATACTTATTTACTATTGTAAATGGTATGTCCTACAAAAAATAATAAGAACACATTTTTGTATAAATACTAAATTTAACGAGTTATATTAAAAAAACTGAATATTTTGTGAAAATCTGTGAAATATGATATTTAGCACTTTTTAACTATTTTTAAATATTATACAAGAAAATAAAAACATTACGGAAAATATATAAATACTCTATTTTAGTAAATAATGCGATCAACAAAATTAGTTAGGTAAATTTTTTACATAAATTTAAAATTTAACGAGTTCTGTTAAAAAAAAACTGTTTTTCTGCTCTTAACCGCCTGTATTCAACCCATTTGAGGGGCGGGAATGCTAACTTAAATTTTATACACACACTTTTATAAGTCAACCAAACAAAATGGGGGAGGGGTCCTGACTATAAATTTCTAAAAAAAAATTCATGTCCTATAGCTAAGGACCACTCTAGTGTATATATATATATATATATGTATTGCATGTATATACATCTATATAAATGCATGTGTATATTGACATATACGTATTATTCATATATACACTCTATATTTTACATCGTGCCACTTTATGGCGCGCATCTATTTTCAGGACGCCAGGGGCCTGCCCAGGGGCACCAAGACGGTGGTACGGTTCGACAAGTTGGAGTTGTTGATGAACGCCAGCGTGGGTCGGGTTCTGGAGCGGGACATGGTGTCGTACGGCGGCACCGACTACATGAACGTCATCCTTGCATTCCACCAAGATTTCGTCATGCACAAGGTAGGCCCCGCGGTGTCAGGAATGAGAAGATGTGAGTGCGCGTCGTCGGCGGCGGTGACCGTCAAATGGCGACCCCCTCCTCACTATCCAATCATTCTCCAAAATCCCCATTACAACCGACCCATCGTCCCACCTCCGCCGCCGTTTTTAACGTCGTCGCGATCGTCATCTACTGTTACCGCTGTAGTTGTCGTTATAGTAGTAGTAGTGGATTTTTTTTCAATTGTTTTTTTTTTAATTGTTATGTTTTTCATTTGTTTTTATTTTTATTCGTTTTTTTTTCCCGGTCGGTTGGACTGACGGATGGACGAACGGTACGCGCCCGGCAGTTGCGATTGCAGGCCAGCAGGTGCAAGGAGCACTACATCGACTGCACCGACCACCGGTCGTTTGACGTGCAGCCCTTGTGCGGCAACGAGCGAGCGATGCTGCACTTTATGCGGTTCGGCTACGTAAACCGCGAGCTGACGTGCCGGTTCGCCAAGGTAGGTGCCGCCGTCGCGGCTGTTACGGCTATGGCTGTGACTACTGCTGTAGTTGCAGCCTTGGCGGATGCTGTTACTAAAGCTGAAGCCGCGGCAGCAACGACCGCGGCGTTGTTTTCGTCGAACGGGGCCCGCGCCGACGAAAAATGTCGTCGTCTCCACCGCCGACCAATAATTTTCTTTTTTTTTTACTATTATTTACTTATTTATTTTTCTTTCTCTGTTCCAGGGCCAGCTCGTCACCCAGAACGTGACGCTCAACGTGGACAACTCTGTCATATCCATGGCCATCGCGCTGGAACGGTGGTGGGAAAAATCGTGGCGGTGGACAATCCGATTTCAGGGGGCCGACGGCAACGAGCTGTTTGGGTTCGACGGCGCGCACCATACGCCGCTGCTGAGCACAGTGCGGCCGCGGGCCCGGTCATGAGCGGCGCCCTGACTGACCGGGTCCCGGAGAGAGACTGGGTGGCTGGCGTTGAGAGGGTGCCGGCACCTTCGATATCGTCAGACGTCGTCACCGCTGCCGAATAAATACAATAATTATAATAATTGTAATGATAATAATAACAATAATTGGTAATAATGATAATAACAATAATTATAATAATAAAAACAATAAAAAAATCAAATAATACACATTATCCACGACTTGATTTGTTGTATCTCTAGCGCGCGCAAGGTGTGTTTGTGCCGGAATATGTGTGTGTGTGTGTATTTGTGTAAGTGTAAATGTAAGTGTGTATGTATATTTAATTCGAAAAGCGACCGGAGAAAAGAATACTAAAAAATAGCCAATGCTTATTTCGGCAACAATGTTACCCCATCGTCATTGTCTTTATTGCGTACACAGTGATATGGTGTCTTTGTTGTGACCGCCCCATCATATGTGACTGACCGTTTGTAAAAATTACTAGACGAGTCCCACGCGCTCGTTAAACGAGTCATTATAATTCAATCGTAATTAAATGCTTGCTCGAGTATTGTTTATACCAAACTGAACGGTATATTATCATTATTCCTTTCATTTCTTTTGTGTTCTTTTAAATTATCGCAAAAGGTATATACGCTCATAGTTTTCGCCCACGGGTTTTTCACATACAAAGTATAATCCAAAATGCGCTATCGTTTTCTGACGAGGTTAATTTTATTTCCACGCTGTAGAACGAATTCTGTACTGTCATCTGTAATTCACAATTTAGCCGTTACCAAGGTCGCTGTCATCCGTGGACATATAGATCACATTTATTGTACATTTTATTTGTAATTTGCGGATGTATATATAACTTTAGTTAAGTTTTACTAACATTAAGTCTTATGATATTTTATGTTTGTAGAATATTCTTACATATAAATATTAATATATGAATACTCTCATCACCTTTCTCAATTTTCTATATTATGTCTACTCATCACACTTCTATAGTATTTCCCTTTTAAAATTTAATTAAAGGAATACTCACACAGTCATCGTCATCATCACCGTCGTTGTCATCGTTGGACTCGTCAACGTTTAAACTACGTTTGTCTATACGCTTCACGAAAATTACCGGCGCGAATTGTACGCGCTTCGCGTTTGGATTCGGTTAGCCTACCGTTCCTATTCCCGCTTCTCACGTCCACTTCTCCTTCAACTGCTTCACTATCTCCTTCTGCTGTTTTCCCCTACCTCCACCTTCTGCTACAAAACCTTCTTCAGCTACTCCCTCTCCTCCTGTTCCTCGAATCGTTCTCGCTCTCCAGTTTCGCTGGGAAAACGCTTTTTCACGCGCGTCTATCCCGACGAGAAAAGACGGCCCTCCGTTTCTCTTTTCGCGATTCGATTGGATAATCCCTTTTTTTCGAAAACGTGGTTTTTTTCCCTCACTGCAAATCATTGAACATAGACTCGTATGTAAACAAGTTTGTTTTACGAGCCCAATGTTTTTACGTGTCGTGCGATTTGATTTTTTCACATTTTTAATTGGTTCGGCGGTCACGTATTTTTTTCCCCCAAACGAAATGACTGTTTTTCTGTTTTCCAAGTACGTTTTGTGCGTACACGAAATCGTATTGAAAGTTCTCAATTTGCAACGATAGAATGCGCGTCATTACTAATCTATTGTGCAAAGAATTTTAATTGAGCTCGCATCTACCCTAAATCAATCTGATGACGACTGAAAAGACGTAGGCCACTTGGAAATAGTTTTTTTGCACAGGGTAATAATGTTATTTATTGATTATACAAATTATTAAATTAAAAATGAGTTTGTATTAAACATAATGCACAAGGCCAAAGAGCATACCAAATAAATATACTAAAAGAGTTTACATAAAATATCAAAAGAATAATAAATTGGATTTTTCACTTGAGTAGATTTTATAAAAAAATTACCAAACCTTTGTGCAGAAGTTAGATAGTAATTTTTCGTTGATATTTAATCTTACTCATATACAGGGTGATTTTTTTATCATAACCCACTCAACTACTTACAGAATAATAATAATTTAAACATTTTTTTTTTATTATTATCATTAGTTACACATTATTCTTGAAATATTAACAATGTAATACTTTTTAAGTTCATCCCTTATGCCTGGTAAGGGTGTCAACTTTGTTTTTTTAAATGGTAACACATATTTTTAATTTAATAAAATGTTTGAGTTTTTAATTTAATAGTAAATGGCATTTGAATTTTTAATGAAACTTAATTTGTTTATTAGATATAAACATTTAAAGTTTCAAATTTTTGAGTTAATATATNCATTTAAAGTTTCAAATTTTTGAGTTAATATATAGGTATAATACACAAGGGATTACAAATACAGGTAGCTAATTGATTTTTT